AGTACTGTATAGTATGGTGTGTTGTGTTGTATGCATGGTAATAACAGGCACAATTCGAGCGGGTTATTTTTTAAAAAATCTTTCGCTTCAATTTTTGTGACGTCATCACCTTTATGTTACGTTCGTAAAATCGGGAATTCGTAAAATCGGGGTTCGTAAATGAGGGGTTCTACTGTATTGCTTTTTGTTTAGTGACAGTATGCAAATTGTGTAGAAGCTAGTGTTAATGTTGAATGCTGTGGGCGGAGAGAAACAAATGAATATTGAGGTGAAGCTTGGTTGCAGTTTGTTAAGTTGTCTGATGTATCTGGAGAAATTAAAAGGGACCTAAATATTATTTTCTAGAGGGAATTTTTGATTTGTCATTAGTAATAGAATCAACTGTAAAATTGTTTTTTCAAGGGCCAATATCCACTAAGCAAATCATTCACAATTTTATACAAGCTGTCAAAAATTGAAAATGTACAGTATTGAGTATAGATTTTATACTACAAAATACCAGCTTATTTACTATTATTTTGCAAGGAATATGAAACAGTATTGTCTGTGCATAATCTTTCTTGCAAGGAAAATAATTTTTTCATCATATTTTCAACTGATTAGAATTTGTAGTAGTAGTAGTAGTAAACAATTATACTGAATTCGATTTTTCAATTTTTTAGTTCATTACAGTATATTTTTCAAGGACATTTATCTTGTGTTCATCAAGTTCTTAACAAGCTGTAAAGTAAAGTTTTCCCTAGTTATGTCTACAACAAAACAATAAAAGATATATAACCTTGTTTTATAACAAGCGAGTGAATGATAATAAAACATCATTGACCATGTTCTGCTGCCTGTCACGTTTATGTTTACAAAGTCTGTAGTGTTGCGGGTAGAAAGTAAAGTAGGAAAGAAGAGCTGAAGTAATCATGGCATGGAATAAAAACTTATGTTTTTAGAAATCTCTCTATGCCTTGATAACAGTGCCTGATTCAAGGGGTAAGAGCTCCAGCCGGGTCGAAAAAAATGGAAATTATATTTAAATTTTAGTCTGAGAATGCTACTTCCAGCCATTATTCTGAGGTAAAAAATAATCATAAATTTTATTACCACAGTCCAACCATAGTGGGATTGAGGTGGTCTACACTCTCCATCTCTGAAAGTCTCTCCCTGGGCTCCCTCTATTTTGAAATTCCTGGATCTGCCACTGTATAAAAAGTAAGTGGGAAGGCATTGGCTAGGTATATATACTGTATATATTATGTGTGTATGTGTGTATGTATGTGGGTGTGTGTATGTGTGTATGTATGTATGTATGTATGTGTGTACATGGTCTCTTATACACATCTTAGAACACCTCACTTACGAACGGCACGGGCCCAGAGCCGTTCGTAAATTTGGGTATTCGTAAAATCGGGGTTGACCCAAATTCCTATATATTTGCACTGATACTACTTACACTGGCATAAACTAGGCCTAGGTCTCTTTGTTATTTTCTGCTTTTAAAATGTTTTTGTAGATAAGAACTGAACCACTTTGGAAATCAGTACTATGTATTGAAAGTGTATATTCAGTATAAAGAAAGAATAAATAAATAAATAAAATAAAATAGGTAGGTGCAGTACAGAGCTATAGTACATACCTATCTCGGGCTTATCAGTCAGCTGTAACTACTTCAGTTGATATTCTATCCAATGCATATCTAATGTTTTTAACGTCTTGACACAGACTTACGCCATTTTCTATAATTATATTCTGAACTGTGCAGTCCATGATCCTTGTTGCGTATTACAAATGCAGTATTCCTTACGTTAATTAATGAGGCGTGACCAAGTACTGGCAGATGAGAAAGCCTTTGATGATTTAATTGGATAATAATTGTGTATTCGTTGTTTTGAGTGGTATTTGTAATTCAATATATTTAGAGTAGAAAATTATTAGCCATGCTTATTTATTTTGACTCTGTATTTCTAACAATTATTTACCCATGAAAAGCAATTTTAATAAATATTGAATGCATTGTAAATTAAAAAAGAAAGCTCCATTAAAAAATATTATAAATCAAGTATAGTTTTTATGTACAGTACAGAGACCTTGTTGGTGGGATGAAAAGACTGAAATATTATTAACACTGTTCTAAGCAAGATGACTACGCCCGCATAATGTGGTTTTTGTCTTGGAAGCGGGCCATTTTTGATAACAAATGGTTTGATTCATTAGCAAACTATAGTACTTCCAGTGGAGTATGTGTTTGATAGGCATTTGTTCTGATAACTGAGATAATAATATGACACAATATTTACTATACTGTTGAAGACATTTATGTTTGAACCATCCACATTTAAGGGCACTATAATATTGCTATAGGCTCATGCTGTTGCTTCGCCAGTGTAGTAAAGATATACCTGTACTTGACGCCTAAATTTGTATTAAAGATTTTTTGTCAGCCTAGCCCTAGGTGCTTTATAAGAATCTAGGAACGTGATCTCAAGATTCATTTTCCTTATGCTTAGTGCATATGTAATGCTGATGAAGGCCAGAATATTTTCTTGTCAAATGAGGCATACCACCAATATGTAGGTCTGTCTTATGCTATGCTAACTGTTGACTTGTTGATCCAGGTTAACCCTGGACCACATCATCTGTTGAACACAAAAGGGGCCTGACTGATAACCTATTGACATTGTCTTTATTTATTGTTTAGGTGGGAAGTACTGTACTGTAGTTGCTAGTGATAAACAAGTAATTTATATGAACTTTAAATAGCACAAGAAATTAGGTGAATCTTGACTACAAATTTGTTTTTCTCTGAGATTTCCTTGAATGTAGCTGAAAATTTCTTTCCATAAAGATTGTATGTATTTAGACTGCATGCTGTACAAAATTATTTGTTTAGCATTAGATTAATTTATATTTAGTCGGAATTTGATAAGAAGTAGGTTTAACAAGGTATAAAAATTGTTTATTTCCATTTTAATGTAAAATGATCCTGACCGGTCCTGATGAAAAATAGAATCAAAATTTCGGCAGTATATAAAGGGGTGAAAGCTCTTGTTTTGTGCACGCTTGAATTGATATACTATGTACAGTAGATCAATATTATACCTTGTTATGCTCAATTCAATCATGCATATCATATTTTATTTTGCGAGAGTGGTAACACAAATCAGAATTCCCACAGTTGTGTTTTGATTTGGTGTTCAAGTTATGTTTTGATAAACCTGTTTTGTTGACTTTATTCAGTCTGTTGTGGGTTCAGATTAACAGCAGTATGTACACGGCTATAATAGTCTCTTGGCAGGGATATTTTAGAAGTCTCAATGTGCTAACAGAAAAGAAATATGTGGCGGTGAAAGATACAAAGTTCTCCTAATGAAACCAAAACACTAAGATGAAATCCAATATTAACAGACTGAACAGATAACTAAACATCATTGTATCGTCGTATTAATGTTAAACGTAGGGCCTATTGTGTATAGAAATGCTATGGCCTCTATACCAATATACCTCATTGTATTGCATTTCCTTATGAACTTGTAGTATAGATTGTTATATAACACTATTGTAATGATCAGGTTGCTAGTTATGTAGTAATTCAAGCTGAGTACTACAATCAAGTTTCCTGTCTGTGCTATTAATGTTTCTTCTCCAGAGTTCCACTACAGTACTTAAAAGCGATCTAACGTTTTCAATTCCTAGTGGTTGACGTGAGAACCAGTTGTGTGTTCTAATACTTTCTTTTAACAATAGCAGCCATAATACTTGGAAAACCTCTATCTTATATTTGAAATCTGGTCTTTGTTAACCAATCATGGGCCAGGATAAATGTCTGTCTTGAGCAAAACCAGGGGCAATGCCAGCTAGACCTACTAGGTATAGCCAGTGGGGGCACCTATAGTACAGGTAGCCCTGCCAATGGTGTATTGCTAGAAAAGTTAATCATTTTGTAAGCCACTTACAGCTCTGCCCCGAGAGTGCCATTTTTAGGCATCTAGAGGTGACATAACCTTACATTCTTCTGCCTTGGGCCAACTATGGTGGGTGTGGCAAATCAGTCAAGATATGATAGACTTCCTGCCATGATAAAGCTGATGATAACACTGAGGAATTAAAGGACCTGTCATGTTCTGCAACCCATCTATTTCACTCTGTTGTTAGTCTACTTTTCTACAGTTAGATCTTAATGCTGTTGGTCTTTAGGAGCAAGCCCATCTTCCTTTATAAAATAATAGGTGAATAAGTAAAATTTGACCAGGGATAGATTCCCCAGAAGAAAATGAGAGAATAAATAGGGATGGAAGAAAAGAGAAAAAAAGGAAAGAGAAAGGGGTGATCACTAGACTCCAAAACAAGCTTAGCTATCAAGGTATTTTTGGATTTAAATTCTATAACCAGTTTCTGTGGTCAAGCATTTCTAAGCAAAATCTCAACACCACCTTCCCACTCATCGACACTGCACTTCG